ACCTTAAACAATCATTTCAAGCACACAAAAATAGAACTTTTTGCAGTTTATAGTCAAGCTTAAAACAATATGCAAATAGGTCTAAAAACTTAAGCAAGAATGGGGGATCAAAAGGTAGTTTACTCACCCTTGAAGAACACCTTCAAGAACACCACTCTAGCAACCTTTCTGAGTTCAGACCAACCTAAGAACACCAAAACTAACTCCTAAGGACCTCAGCAACCAATGGATGGTGTTCTACTAGGTGCTCTAATGCCAAAGTATGAAGAAAATACACTTTAAGGCACAAATGCACACACAAATATAGAGAGAGAGGGAGATATATAGAGAGATATATATCTTCTATATCAATTTGTTGAACCTCTAGAAAGGGAGGGGAGGCTCCCTTCTTATAGAATCTCAATTCTCAAGCTTGTTCAACAAGCTTGAGTCTTGAAACAAATCCCTCCATACACGTGTATGGAGGATGAGAATTGTGCCCACCAGCTGTCACAGCTGGCCCAAAATATCTGCAAAAAGTAGATGGAAAGGTCTCGGCTCAAAAATATGGCCGATCGACCAAAAAAAGTGTCGATCGGCCAACACTTTTGGCCGATGGCAAGAAAACAAGGCTGATGGCATCATGCCTTGGCCGATGGGTTGAGGGGATGGTCAACAAGTCACCCTCTTCCCTCAGAAGCAAAACCACAAGTCCTTGGTCCACAACCAAGCACAAAACAGACAAGTTGAGAGATCCTAAAGCGAGGCGTGCAGCCAAGACCTTCGGGAACTCAAAACGAACACGAGCATTGATGATCATCGAGCGTTCAAACGATGACGTCAAAGTCTTGAGGATGGTAAAAAATGGGGTGTCTACACCATGTAAGTCGTTGATTCATATATTTATAGCGTGCAAAAGTATGTTTTTACGACTTAAAAAAATATGTCATAAAATATTTGCACTTAAGACAACATACAATTCATGTTGTAAAATATTATAACTTTACACGACATACATTAACATGTCGTGAAAACTTCTGCAAAAAAAAAAAAAAATTTCAATTAGAATTTTTTTTATGGCATGCAAAAGCATGTCGTAAAAAATGTATATTTTCATGGCATACAAAAATATGTCATAAAATATTTGTACTTAAAATGACATACATTTCATGTCGTAAAATATTATAACTTTACACGGCATGCATTAGCATGTCGTGAAACTTTTATTAAAAAAATTTCAATCCGATTTTTTTTTTTTTTATTTAAAAAAGCTAACAATTTCCAACCAAGTTTCTCACCTAAAATTTTCCTAATTTAGGACAACATAAAAAATAATTTGTACATTATTTTATAATTTAGTGTCTCTTTTAAGGGATAATTGCACCCACTGGGATTTTGGGAAAAAAAAAAGGCCAGTAATCCTTGGATTACCTACGGCCTCAGACCAAAACAGATATATCTTGTCAGAGAAAAGGGGCCAAACGGAAGCAATAAATAAAAACTTTGTCCATAGAGCCGTGCTTATATGCACATCAACAGACTATATTCAGTTACGTTAATAACCCACCATTCAAAAGTACAGTTTCACAAAATTCATTACAGACAGGATCATCCAAAACAAGTCAACCTATGACAGACTATTTACATATTTACATAGAGTCCCTGTCGGCACGACAAAATATAATTACATAGCAGAAGGCAAGGGTAGGTCTCAAGAGTGAGACGCAAGGCTGACTTCCTCAAAACTCGGATTTTTCCTAGCAGACTTCACTGGGGCTGGGTTTGGACTTCTCTTAGCTCACCTACATACACATGAATGAGCGTGAGCGATAGCCCAGTGAATAATATCAAACGTGACAGTTACGTAACAATATGTAGAACAACATGCTCCAAACGGCCTTGGGCCCAATTCATACTTCTATTTAACGAATATACAACTATACAAAAATTTAAATCAAGTAACTGTAGTTCTAAACATTCTGGCCTTTGGCCCACTCGGGTTTTCGTTCATGGAAAAACGGCCTTCGGCCCATTCACTTATATTGAAACGGCCTTCGGCCCATTCATTTCTGTCCAAATGGCCTTCGGCCCGTTCATTCATGTCAAAACGGCCTTTGGCCCACTCTTTCATGTCGAAACGGCCTTCGGCCCACTCATTCATTCACGTCAGAACGACCTTTGGTCCATTCATTCACATCAAACGACCTTTGGTCCATTCATTCTTATCAAAACGACCTTCCGCTCGAGCGGCCATTACCCCGCTCGAGCGGACCTCAAAAATCTGGGTTTCCCAGATCGTGTTCTTGAGCTCCAATTCGGTTTTCCATCTACATTTCTTGCATGCAATGGCTCAAATTACACACTTACACATGCTAACATGCTACTAATACAAGATTACAACATTAGGAAGCTCAATTTCATGATTTATCTACATGCATGTCCCAAGATATCTCAAACCCATCATCAACATGCTCAAATTCAAACATTCAAGACTTATACTCCCATGATTTGTACATGCATGTGGGAGATGCTCATCATTCTCAACTTAGATGGTACAAATGGTGATTACAACATGAGCTTTAACCAAAACTCTACATGAATCATGTGTTTCAAGCTCAAACATGCAAATTCAAAGTGATTTCTTACATGCATGAGTTCCAAGACTCCAAACTCAACAAAAATCAACTTATTACATGCTCTTGATCACAAACAACCCTTGAACTTACAAGATCACAGTTTCAAACTTATGAAGTCAAGACCAAAAGCTTACCTAGAGGCTCAATCTTCCAAACTATAGCAATTTCTTGAGTTTGATCTTCCAATTCTTCACAATTTTGAGCCAAACACCCAACTCTCCTTTTTTCCCTCTCTCTAGCCGACTCCCCTCTCTCTTTCTTGCGTTTTATTCAGCTAAGGAGAATAATAAAGAGGGTATTTGAGTGTGTAGAGCCTCACTTAGTCATAATATAATAATATAGAGTAATTGGGTACTCATTTTACCAACTTAATCTGGTCCAAATCAATTTTTCAATTAAATTTCAACGTAGGCTCTAAAAATTATGCCAATCACTATGGCGTAATCAATTTCAGGTTTTGTGGCCGACAAGGCCCTTAATTAAATTTCCAAAGCTAATTATTCGAACAGACATTCCTACGGTGAACAGATAAAACTTCAAAGTCACATATTTTCACATAAATGGCACAGACAAAATCATTCTAAACACATAACCATAAACAAATTAAGGGCCGATTTATCATAATACAGAACAGGGGTATCACAATATGTCATAAAATATTTGTACTTAAAATGACATACATTTCATGTCGTAAAATATTATAACTTTACACGGCATGCATTAGCATGTCGTGAAACTTTTATTAAAAAAATTTCAATCCGATTTTTTTTTTTTTTTAATTTAAAAAAGCTAACAATTTCCAACCAAGTTTCTCACCTAAAATTTTCCTAATTGAGGACAACATAAAAAATAATTTGTACATTATTTTATAATTTAGTGTCTCTTTTAAGGGATAATTGCACCCAGTGGGATTTTAGGGAAAAAAATTACATATTCATGAAAAAATTTATAATTTTAATGATTAATATTCATATGACTTCTTACTAATTTGTAATTATTATTATTTTTTTAAATTACCTTGATTTGATATTTTTTCTTCTTTTAATAATTTATTTATTTTTTACTTTTTAGGTGTGTCTAATCTGAATACAACTAAAAAAATAAAATATTTGTAAATATATATATATATATATATATATGTATAATATATATGAAATGTATTAAATTTTATATTTTTTTGAATTTAGTGATTTTTTTATAAAAAAAATTAAAAAGTAAAACATTATTAAAATTAAAATAAAATATTTCTTTTAATATATGTAAATTATTTGAATTTAAAAAGTAAAAAAAAAATTATTTAAAATATTACAAATATTACAATAACTAAAACAAAAAACTGAAAAACATTTCAGGCCCCTTACTCTCTCACTCACTCTCTGGTGTCGATCTCTCTTTCTCTCTCTCTCTCAATCCTCTCTAAACCCTAGTCTCTCTCAACCGATCGAATCAGCCTTTTTCAGCCCCGTTTGATCTAATCTCAGAGCGATTGGTGATTCATCTCAGATCCAATCTCAGAGCGATTGGTGATTCATCTCAGATTCAATCTCAGCGCGATTGGCAATTTCGAAGCTCCACCGCCTCCACCATCTACACCGGCGAGGGAAGCGAGGACCATCGTCTACTAAGGTGATCACCACCGTCTCTCTCTCTCTCTCAGTTTCGTATTCTCTTTCTCTCTCTCTTAAGCTCTTCTTTCCCGTCGAGTTGGAGCAATTTGCTGTATAATAATTTGTTGATGGAATCTCAATTAAATTCCACTAGTGCTTTGTAGTGCTCTTTGATTTGATCGATTGTTTTTCCAGGACCCCTGGAAGCAATCTTCTCAAATAAGTCTATAGAATTAAGGTTGAACTCAGCAAGAGTGTTCTCAAACAACTTGTTCTCTTCAAAAGTCCACTCAGTATGCATTGGAAGAGGTGGCAAAGAGATAAAGAACCATGATGGTTCATGAAGGTTGTTGCCAAGATGTGGTATCTCCATTTTTTGCTAATCAAAGAATTTTGAGTAGAGTTAAAATGGAGTAGAATGTTGCAAAAAGGGAATTATATATAGATAAATTGATGCATAGACATACACACAAACATAAATACTTTAGTTAATTTTATGTTAATATAGTTCACATTCCCCATTTGATGCTCTACTCTTTAGTGTTCTCTGTTTTTTCCAGAATTTTATTAGCTTACCTAACATAGTGTGTTTGGTTCTGTAGCTTTTGTGCTACCACTGATGACAAATGCCAATTAGAGGTCATAAAATGCTATAAATAACAAATATGGGATATGTCGGTGAATTTGGATGTATGTATTGTGGTAATGGGTTTTCATGTCACTTTGGTGTTTGTCTGCTCTGCTCTGTTCTTCCAGTGCTAATCTCAATTCAGTGGTCACATTTTTTACAATTTCATTTTTAATAAAAGATGTCTTAGTCCAATTGAAATACCTAGCCAAATGGGGATTCAAATACACGTGGCACATTTCTAATGGTTCACATACACCCAACATAGAGAAATGCTATTGGTAGCTGACATGTAAGATTGGTCATATTACAAATAAATCTCAGTTTTGCAACGTATTTTTCGTATTCTAATTTTGTTCTCATGCATATATTCACAACAGGTGCAACTTCTCCAATAAATATTGGATGCAATAGTAGGTTTATTTTAGTGGTGTTTCTTAGCAATATGAAGTTTAAAATGGCACAAAGTAACATAGGTCTCGGTGTCATCTCTCATCTAATCATTCATGTGGTTTGCATGCTTTTATTTGAAATTTTCTATTGATTATTGACACTTTTTTGATTTATTTGAAACTCTTCGTTCTTTCTTTTTTGAAATTTTATTTTTTGTGATGTTATGTTTAGCAGTTAATTAAATAAAGAAGGTGGGTTGAATTTGAAAATGATTTAGAACAATTTGAAAATAGTTTAGAACATTTGCTGAATAATAACAATTTGAGAGACATTCTTGGGAAAAAAAATGAAAAAATTAATAATAGAAAATACCTTATTAACTTTGTTTAAATACTTGAGATGATTCTCTAGTACTAGGTAGCATATTTGATTTGCCTCTCTACTTAACAATCATAGATTCATGAAGTTCATATAGTTCATATAGTGAGGTGGAAACTAATCCAGTTCTATTTTACCTGTAAGAAAGGGAAGTTAAATTTTTTTTGATTATTTTCTGTTGAATATTAAGGTTTCTATTTTTCCCCATTTTGATTTTATGGAGAATTGAATTTTTCAAAAAGATCATCAGGCCATTGATATCCTTCTAGTAGAGATTGATATATAAGAGCTTTTTGCTTTCAAACAGTGCAAGGGAAGGAAGGTTAAGCTTGCTCTTTGTGAAGGTAATTTCTAATCTTTGAATATGCAAGCTTGCATTGTTAGGGAAATTCTATTTTTGTCTCAAATAAATTTCATTCATACGCAAGCTTGGAAGTCCAAATCTGATCTTCTGATTTTGCTTGCTTTTGGTTTCTAGGTTGCTATGTTTGGGATGAAATGTTAACTTAAACGGAAAAATTATTAGTTTAACACCATACCAGGTTCTTAATGTCCGAATTCCCTTTATCGTATCCAAGAGATTACCTGGGTCAAATTGACTCTTAGTGTCAAAATTAAATACACAGTATGGTATAAAAGCATCAACTCTTATGAACTAAATTGGTATGCCCAACCAATAGTAGTGGCTAACATCAATTCCTATTAACATCAACTCCTAGTAGACATATGTATGGTTTATATAATTTAATTTATTTGTTTGGTTGACAAGAAATAGAATTGTAGTGCCCTTATTTTAAATTTTTGCTTCCCTCTTCTTTCATTGGAAGTGGACTCATTTACTTTGGTTTGGATCCAGAGATTACATGTAGCTCTAAGCACAATCGTATCCAACAGATTACCTGGGTCTAGATGGATAAATCCTGGGTGCATCTTTCAAGGTTTTTTTTGTTCTCAAACACAATAAATTTTAAGCTTTTATATGGTCATTTTATTGGAATAATAAATTTTGATATAAAATTATCAGAGTGTTGAAGGATTATCTAGATGGAGCATGCAAATTCGTAAATATAGCTAAGGCGAATGTAGGGAATCCCGAAATGATCGTTTGCCCCTGTAGAAATTGTCGAAATCTATCTCACCAATTTTGTGAGATTGTGTATGAGCACTTGGTCATGAAAGGGATGGATCCTAAATATACATCTTGGTTCCTTCACGGGGAACAACTAATTGCATCATCACATCAGGAAGATGTTGAAATTTTAGATACATATAAGATGTTTAGAGATGTGCATTTTAAAGATGATGATTTTGCAGAGTCTACAAGTGAAAGTAGAGAGAGAGAATTAACACAATCATTAGAAGTTATTGACACTCCTTTATATCCAGGGTGTACAAAGTACACTAAATTCTCAGCAATTGTTGCTTTATACAAGCATAAAGTTGTGCATGATCATTCTGATGAAAGCTTGAACTTCTTCGAATAGTGTCTGACATGCTACCAGAAGATAACACACTTGTCAAATCTATATATTCAGCAAAAAAGATGCTCAAAGCCTTTGATCTAGGATATGAGAAAATCCATGCTTGTGTAAATGATTGTTGTTTGTTTAGAAAAGATTGAGAGCTTAAGGAGACATGTCCGAAATGCAATTGTTCACGTTAGAAAGTAGATAAACGCACTAAGAAGATTAAAAAGGGGGTTCTTGCGAATGTGTTGCGATATTTTCCAATAATACCAAGATTTAAAAGGATGTTCAAGTCACAAGAGAGGGCAAAGCAATTAACGTGGCACTCCTCTCACAAAAGCCAAGATGGCAAGATGAGACATCCAGTTGACTCATTGGCGTGGGAATCAATCAATCAAAAGTGGCCTTCTTTTGCATCAGATCCACGAAATCTTACACTTGGTCTTTCAACAGATGGGTTTAATCCTTTTTCCAATCTTAGCTCAAAGTATAGTTGCTGGCCAGTGATGTTAGTTATATATAACCTTCCCCCATGGTTGTGCATGGCAAAGGAAAATATCACGTTGACATTACTAATTCTAGGGCCAAAGCAACCAGGCAACAACATAGATGTTTATCTAGAGCCGCTTGTGGAAGACCTAATAGAATTATGGACTAATGGTGTTAGGGCTTATGATGCAGCCAACAACTCCATGCTTAATTTGAAGGTTATTTTGATGTGGACAATAAATGATTTTCCAGCTTATGGAAACTTAGCTGGACGCACCATAAAGGGAAAAGTTGCTTGTCCAATATGTAGCACTAACACATGTTCACAATGGTTAAGTAATACTAAAAAGACTGTGTACATGGGCCACAGGCGATTTCTTACACCTGACCATCCATTTCGGATGAAAAGAAGTTGGTTTGATGGAAAGCATGGTTTGGTAGAACAATCCTTTACCAATTTTAGTACTCTATTCATTGAAAATAAAACAAATATAACTGATAGTAGTAATAGTAAATGACAATAAATATGAGAAAAGAATCACAAATCTTCAAAATGCAGAGCTATATACAATTTCAACCCCTATCTAGAGCCAAATGCAGTTTCAACTGTACTGCTGATCTTATTATTGTTATTACTTTTTGAACATTGAGAACTGTGCATTGAGAACTTTGTCTTGAGTTTGGATTATGAGTTTTAGCTGTTACTTTCAGGAGAGTCCGTATATTGGTTAAGGAAACTAAGGAAAAATTGTGATGCTCTTTGGATAATAGCTCAATGGTCTCAGAAGGAACACGATTGTGTTTCTTTAATTTAGGGTTGTATTCTCTAATTCAATGCATTCTTAACTGTAAGAAATGATGACTATTTTGAAATACGCGAATTTTGATGCATAATCTTATGTATCGAGATAGAAGACACAGAATTGTGTGCCACATACGATAGTCTTGGTAGGCAGTAATATATTTCTTGTCCTGCACCGGCATGCATAGCTTTCTTGCACAGTTTTCATCCAATTGAAACATGAATGGCATTTTGCTTTGAGAAAGAAAAAGAGAGTAGGGAAGAGTGGGCTACCTGTTTCATCTACTTGGGTAGAACCTATTTTCTCAATTTTTTTTTTTAAATTATATCTTTTTTAACACTTTCATATTTGTGTTTTTTTATTATTTATTTATTTTAATACAACTCTCATAATGAGGACTCCAAAATAAGCTTCTTGTGTTCTTTAGTGAAAAATTAAGGGACTTATTAGAGATCCACTTGAATTAGAATGTCCATTTTGTTTTTATAAATTCATCAGGTTGAGTAGACTCATTAGTGTGACCACCTCAAAATATGTATTCATCAGGTTGAAATTTTCTTTTCTGACATTGATGACATATGTAAGTGAGTTCTCGTTGAAGCTTTTTGACACTTTCATTTCCTTTGTTGAACTAATACTTTGTAAATGGGATGAATGTTATGCAGTATGCTTATATACTCTTAATTTTTATAGGATCAAAGTAATGGTGTGTTGAGCTTAGCAAATGTCAAATGCAAGTTGTTGCATTGGGAGGGGTCAAACTTGGTGGTTGCAGAAGGCCAAATTGCATCAAGGGATCCCAAGTCAAAGGTGCATTATGCAACTCTTGGACCTTTATGTTGGAAAGTATGGGTAAACCACGTAACAGTCAACGTGCTGTTGTTTCGTTCTACTCATGAGATGTATGATCTTCAAGATGCAATAGGAAGTACAGTTGCATGGCCTAGTCAATTCATTATTTTGGACTAAATATTAGACTAATTGATTTACGATTTGTAGTTATACTTTTTGGATGTTTAAAGTCGTATTTTAGAGATTAGTGAATCTTATGATTTGGATAATTTTTTTGATTTGTATGTTTGAGGTTGTTATCAGCTTGATATGATAGAAGTTGAGGATAAAAATTAGTATGCAGGTTGTTTGGTATATGGATATTAGATTTTTTTGCTTACTTCATAGTTGCTGCTTCTGCTTGGTTTGTAATAGGTTGCATTTTATAAGCTATTGTCTATATACGGTTAGGCAAGGTCATGTTCATATATATATACGTATATATATTATATTAAAAATAACTTTCTACGGCATGCAAAATTATGCCGTGAAAAGTGTAATGATTTATGGCATGTATGAAAATGTCGTAGAAGATTATATACGGCATACAAGGCATGTCATAAATATATTTAAAATGGCCTTCTACGACATACAAAATTATGTCGTGAAAAGTGTGATGATTTATGACAAGCAAGAAAATGCTGTAAAATACTATATACAGTATACAAAGTATGCCATAAATATATTAAAAATTATCTTCTACGCCATGCAAAATTATGTCATGAAAAGTTTGATGATTTATGACATGATAAAAATGTCGTAAAAAGTTATATACAACATACAAAGTATGTTATTAATGTTTAATTTATTACTTTTTACAACTTTACCTGTATGCCGTAAATGATGCTCAACTTTTCACGGCATGTCATATAACAGCATTTGTGTGCATGTCGTGAAAGAGTTTTTACAGCATGCATCGCAAGCCGTAAAAATTCAGTTTTGTTGTAGTGAGGTATAATATAACTCACCTTAATATTGACCCTTAGCCTTTCTTTCACTATCACAGTCTTCCTACTTCACTAACTTACGCGCCTCTCCCTCTCTTTTCTTTTCTTTCTTTTCTTTCTTTTCTTTTTCTTTTTTTCCCACTGATCTCAGCAACTCCACGGATATTGATCAATTCTTCCCTATTTATAGGGAAGCAAAAGCATCCTGTGGCCGACATGTGGCCGATCTCGAATCCTTCTTCATAACTCACCTGGATTCGCTCATTATAACCATAGATTATTACTTATCTTAATAAATATTCAAGATAATTACATTTTGGCCCGGTTTCCAAATATGACTATATAAACAAATTAATCCCTAATTAAATTATACTTTATTGTATACCCACAGAAAATTAATTATTTATTTTACTACCACACCCTTTATAAATATTATTATTATTATTGTTATCAATATTATTATTTATTTACTCTTACTTTTATATTTGTTTATCTACTATCTTTAACTTTAACTTGTCCCGACTAGTTTTATAATTCCATGTTTTTTTTTTTAATTTGACCCCAAATAATATCCCTAATTAATCCCATATTTGATAACCCAATGCCAAATTAGATTATGTATTTATTATTATTTATGTAATAATATATTATCACATACACTCACAATTATGTATAACTATAAATATTTATGTGGTATTTAATTAAACATTCAGGGTGTTACAGGCACAAGGAGGGGAGACTAACCCCTCCAACTTTGGATTTCAAAACATGTTTTTAGCCACTAAAATAGCTCTGAAAATCAGTGTTTAAATGCTCTTAAAAAGATAACGCAAGGGTGGGAAACACGAGGGCAAAGGCCTCCAAAACAAGGTACAAAGAAGGGCTATCAATCCCTCAACCTTTAATGGCCTTATAACCCAAGCATCAGCCCAAAAACACAGAGTTTTTTATAGCCCAAAATCAGTTTGAAAACTTGCTAAAGAAACTAAGGCAATAAGCTAAAACATGGAGCTTTTGAACTAGTAAACAAGCATGAAGAGGGGTGGCCAACTCCTCTATTTTTGGGGCCACAAAACAATATTTTTAGCCTCTTAAAACCTCTGAAAATTAGTGGTATAACGGCCCAAAAAAGTTAGTTTTAACGTGACAAGAAATGGCACAAAAAGCTTAACAAGCTAAGAAGCAAGAAGGGTGGACCACCCCCTAACTCAAAAGGGGATTAAACCACCAATTTTAGGTCATAAAAATAGAGGTTTTTATAGTTGAAAACCAGGCCAAAAAATGTACAAAAAGATGACAAAACAAGTTATGCAAAACAAGTTTTAAAGGTAAGTCTTATACCTCTTGAAGCACAGCACAATTCAAGTAACAATCCAAGCTTAAACCCTCTTCTAGAGCTCAAAACAAGTCCCAAGGAACCCCAGCCCAAAGATAAGCAACTTCGGTTAAGGGTTCATAGGCAAACTAGTAGTGTATCTCCACTTGTATGCACAAAAAGGCAAGAGAGAGAGAAATCTAGAGAGAGAGAATTGTAGAGAGAGAGAGGCTCCCAAAATTTTCAACCTTGAAAATAATAGAGAATGGCCTCTATATATAGAAAAATATGGTTTCAGGTCGAAAATATCAACACAGGACAGCTGGCACATTGTGGGAGACAGTTGGATGAAAATATCTACAAAATTTGAGTTTTTTTCATTGGTGGCCGACCGGCCAAAAGTGTGCATTGTCGGCCACCAATGGTGGGCCACTGATGGTGGCCGGTCAGCCAGCAAAAATCTGCTTCTAGGCCCAACTTCAAATGGGCATATCTTCTTCATATGAACTCCTTTACAAGTCATTCTTGTGTTTAATTGAAGCCCCGGAAGTAAGATTTCCAATGGTGGCAGTCTCACATCAAAATTCCAAGTGTGCAAAAAGATATGCCTATTTTAGTGAAGATTGCTCATTTCCAGCTCAATCGGATTGATGCCTAACTTCAACCAACCATATCTCCCTCATCTGGACTCAGGTTTAGGAGATTCTTAAGTGTTAAATGAAGCCCCAGAAGTCTTATTTCCAATGGTGGTGGCCTCACAACTTAAGTCCAAGTGTAAAAAATGATAGATCTGATTTAGTGAAGGCTGCCTAGTTCTCTCTTAACGGTTCATGCCCAACTTCTTCCCCAACTTGGTTTCTTCTCTCCCCTCTTATTTTCTTCAACTCCAAACCTCTAAATAAGGTTTTTTGAAAGATTTTTCAAAAAGCTCACCTCTCTTTCATGCATTTCTACTTTGTCCTTGCTCGGTTTACCGAAAAGAGTAACATTTAACGAAATGCGAGCCTCAGAACATCGTTGGAACTTTTTCAAAAATATTTTGAAAGAGAGGGTTTTTAGGTCCAAAAATCATTGGTCAAAATAGTTTTGGTCCAAAAATGGAGTGTAAGGTTGGGATTTGACACTCTCCTTGCCAAAGAAATCGAACCTTCACACTGCACAAATTTCATCAGCAAGTAAGCAATTAGTAATGCCCAAGTCTTAACGGCGGTCAAAAATAGGGTGTCTACAGTTGCCCCTCTTTGACAGAGCTTAGAGTCATGAAATGACATGAATAAATGTCAAAGTCCAGAGCCGACCCATTTTTGACAAGGCTGAAGACTTGGACAAATAAACAAAATGCAAATGCAGTTGGTTGAACCCGAGGTTGCCTACGTATCCCTTTGTAAGGAATCAAACCAGCGTAGTTCAGGAGCAGAATACAAATGATACTCAATATAACAAAACAATGCAAATGATATGCAGTTCACTGAAATAATCAAACCACAAGTAGTGCAAAACCACACAAATATCATAAAGGGATGTAGATGCAACATCAAACTACGTTTAACACAGAAAAGGTGTCGGAGCCCTCAAACCACAATTCTCTTAGTGGAATAGGCGTGTACACATGCAGAACTATGTGTTTCATAGAAAGAATACAAGTAATTGGGTGGGATGATATGAGTGAGGAATGATCTGCTGAGGAAAGATCATGATCCTAAATGCTGAATGCAACAAAACAAACTACGATGCAATGAATGCAATAGATGCAATGAATAAAGGATGCAAGCCAAACCACATCTCTACCTAGAAAAGGTATAGACATAAAACAGGAACCATAAGAGGAGGAAGAACAAATCCCTCAGACCATAATTCTTGCAGCATAGGTGCGTATACATTACCCCAAAACCATGCTTCAATGAGGGAAAGGCATGAGCACATGCCAAACTAAGCTTAACATGGAAAGAATGTAGGCAATAAAATGGTATGATGTAATGGACGCAACAGATAGTGCAGTAGATGCAAAGAGTGACATACTCCAACCACGCTGGAACCATAAGAGGAGGAAGAACAAATCCCAAACACGCTGAAATCGTGTGAGGAAAGGAACACTCAAACCATGCTAGAATCGTGAGAAGGGGTCCTAAGATAACTACTCAAGGGCACATTCCACGCAACTTGAGATAAATTCCAACCACGCTAAAATCGTATGAGGAAAAGAACACTCCAACCACGCTAAAATCGTGAGAAGAGGTTCGAAAACAACTACTCAAGGGCGCGTTCCATGCAACCTGAGATAAATTCCAATACGCTGAAATCGTGTGAGGAAAAAAACACTCTAACCACGCTGAAATCGTAAGAAGAGGTCCTGAGAAAACCATTCAGGGGCGCGTTCCACGCAACTTGAGATAAATTCCAAACACGCTGAAATCGTGGGAGGAAAAGAACACTCTAACCAGGCTAAAATCGTGAGAAAAGGTCCGGAGAAAAGCCGTTAGGAGCGTGTTCCACGCATCCTAAGATAGCCCTGGGGGACAACGATCATAAATGCTGCTCAGAGTAAAAAGATAAATGATACAAGATAACACAAGATACAAATAAATGCAATAAGTGCGTTGATATGATACATGTCACAAGCAATGTAGTGCATGATGCTTTAGAGAAATGCAATAAACAAACAAAGCGACGCTTTTAAAAAAACACTTCATGGGGTGAGTGGCGATGAACTGCTCTACTCTGACGGGGATCTCCCCTTATGTTCTTCGAATTTTTACCTGGTGTTTTTCAAACTCTTACCTTCAACTCACAGTTTGAAGGTCCTGAAATACTGACAAGGAGCAACATCTGCATGTAGAAGCCACAGATGCTGCTTTTCTTCCTCTTTGATCATATTCACACTTTCCCTATTCTCCAACGGGGTGATAGACTAGGTTGGTTCAGTATCCAGAATTAAGGTGCACACATGCTATCTCAATCTATGGGGCTGCCATACAAATTTCAAGCTGAGGATACACCCCTGGGTATTTAAACCAGACTTTAGTTTC